AAAGGTGGACGTCAACATCAACCCTTCTATTAGGGGTCATCACCATTCTCCCATTCGTGGCATATGTACTTCTTCTGCTCGACTAAGGCTTATCACGCAGAAGTGGAAAATCAGGCTACATGTCCTTTAAAATCGGGTTCGCTTTCCGCTGCCACCAATGTAGCGTCCCAAGACTCCCTGAAGACGAAAGAAGACAAAATACTCGGACAGAATATGTGTATTCAGCTCAGAGAAGGTGTCTGGACTATTGGCATGGCCCAAAAGGCCAGCCCACCCAGGAAGGTACAAGGGGGCAACTTCATAGTACAAAAGTGGCGCCTCACTAGAACCGAGGGATAAACCACTGTCGTATTACAATAGAACCAAAAAACTTAACAGAAATAGAAAAAACGAAGCCCTCCCTCAGTTTCAACACACCATCTTCCGACTTAAAGGCGGATAGTTTGGGTGTTTACAACATTTCCATGAGTAAGAAGATTAAGTGTTCGGAAACCTTAAAGTATTTAGCAGATATTCTTGTCGGCCGGCATTTAAAATAAAGTGTCGTTATTTCCCCAAGGCAGATTACAAATACGCACCCCTTAATGTAGAAATAAGCTAGATATGTTCATGTTTAATAAGTGAAAAAAGCAAAGTTTTACTTCAGGAAACTATTTTAGTGTAGTTTGTTTGGCGCTAGCAGACTTTGATAACGCATATTGTAAATGATTTTCGCAGGCCAAGACGGAATGTCCTACACGTTAGTGAGGATCCAAAACATAAATAGACTAAAAATAACTTTGGACTGTTTATATTACTTTGGATTACAGCAGACCTCTCTAGAATATGAAACATTCATATCCAAAGCAATAATGATACAAATCTACGGTGAATAAAAAGCACCGCTGCCGTAAGGATGTTTTAGCTCAGAACGAATAAACGTTTAAAAGAATGTGGTACACAATAAGATTTCAAAGGATTTAATGGAATCTATTTGGCTACATGATTTCCTTAATCTCGCGACTAGTGCTTTTATTTAATCTACATAGCTACAGTCATTGTGTAGGACGAGGCTCGTAGATATCATCTTCCCTGGCCCTCATATTCTTAGAACACGCAGATCGATTTGGTTTCGTCATGTTTATTGGGTAAAGTATGTGGGGAGAGCGGATACAAGTTCAGGGTGGATCGGGCGCAGAACAGTTCTCCGGGTTGCGGGACGCTGACTCTTTCTCAGTCATAAGGTTCGATTCGTTCCCCGCCTCCGCTCTAAAAAAAATACTAAAACAGCATAAGTACTACAATCGTGTCCTTTTGTGCGTTGATTATAAATGACCTTCACTACACAAATAGCTCCACACGATTTCCATTAGCCAAGGTTGTAACTCTGCGGGATTGTGTAGTGATACACAGCGACACAGTTCCGTGCCGATGCCTAAAAATTTATAAGCTTGGCAAATTTTGAATTCGGAATTGTGAAATTTAGTTATATTTACACCAATAATTTAATTTGAATTTTAACAAAATAGAAAAGACTTATTTTATACATAAATGCCCATGTACCCATAATTCTCGGTGTTTAAATTCATTAAACACTCATCAGCTGATTACTCAAAGGCGGGTGGACTCGCACAGCTCATTGGCTGCTGGTGTGGCTTGTATTTATTGTTTCTTAGAGGATTACAATCTCCCTCTTTCTAATGAAATCTTTACTCATTTTAGTAAAATGGGGCGTACAAACAGAAAGCGACCGCAGCGTACCTCCAAGAAGCCCATCAAGAAGCAGATGCGCAAAAAACAATCTGCCATTGTACAGCGTTGTATTCAGGCTTTAGATTCGAATGCGCACCGCTTCCGTAAAAAAGTGTCAGAACCTCTGGAACCCTCTGTCACAAAGCCGCCCGATGGATCCCTTAAACACTTCAAACCCATTCAAATCAAAACCGCCGAAAATGCTGGATTGCTTGATGTTGCTACGCTACTGGGAAGTAAATTTCATCTTGGGGAGTCCGATTCCTCAGAGGGAAAAGGAAATCTTGAGTCCCACCCATGAGATATCTGCCTTTTGTAAAAACGCTGCATACATTTCTTCGTTTACGAACAAAACTTCTACAAATTGTTAAAATGGGATTCTAGGCTTGGCCGCCATCAGAGACAATGTGATAACCTCATTGTGCGTAGGCAGTCGGTGACACCACACTTCGTCTCAATCCTATCGCACCTCAGTGTTTCACTAGAGACGAGGCCTGCAGGCTCTTCTCCTTTCGGGCGGGTACCCATCAGCGTTTTGGAGTTGACGCACAGAGTGGATCATCCATGTCTAATCCTAGAACCTCAACAGTGGAACCGAGCATAATCACTGAGAGTTCCTAGCGTCTGTCTACTTGCTCCTGCTGACACTGACCAATTCAGTCGGCCCAGAAATAACTACCAGGAAGTGGCAACCCAATCCAGCCCCAAACCAAAACTAGGGGACTTGGTAGTGCCACAATGGCGAGAGAACAGGAGTAAGCCAACGAAACCCCAGTTGGCTAGTTTTGCCATATTCGAATCCGCATGGTGGGGAGCTTCCCCTGCCAGCGGGCATTTCCATCCCCATGTAACTCACACTTATATACCCCCAGTCGATGTACAGCGAGAAATCATTCATAATGCACAAAGGCATTTCCACAAGAACCGATTCCTTGTTCACTACGCCGTCGATAATATTACCTCCATTTCTCTATGCATTTACTTCATAATAAGCTATTAAAAACTCAGCACCCATTTTTGATTAGGCACAGCTCAATTCCTACAACCAGATATGGGATATCACAGCAGAAATTAGAAGCAAACAGGAGTGACGTGGATGATATGTGCGGTGCAATTTGTGAGAGGTAGAGGGAGAGGAGATAAGGGCTAGATAACAGTTTCGCTTCCCAAACCGGCAGCCAGAGCCTCGCGATTCTCATACATCAGGAAGGTCTGTATGTCGATCAGAACGCCCAGCACTGTGTCGCCTTTGCCTCTTGAACAAAAAATAAGAGAGAAAGGAAAATATTTGGATTCAGGGAAAACTTATGGGTAGATTAGCCTATTAGTTAACAGGTATGAAGACATTCACTTGTATCCTCATGCGACCAAATCTTCATCAGTATATCGGATTGAATCAGCGAGTGCTGGAGTGTGGGAAGCTCTAGCCCCATGAGTGTCAGCTGGTAATTAAGCCACAAATTTCCACATATGCCACTGAAGGAGAATTTACGTTATAGTGGTCGAAATAAAGAAGGGAATATAAAAGGGTGACTTCCGCGGAGCAGTGATCCGCCAAGGCCAACTAAATCACTCCATGGGGTTTCATAAAAGGTAACGGGAAATTTAGATGATAGCAGTGACTCACGACTTGAGCAAGTCATCCAAGGTAATGAAATCTGGGTTCTGCGGCCGCACCATGTCACATATCTCATTCAACACATCGCAGAACCTCGGCACATCGGGACCATCGCCAAGACGTGCCTGAACCGCGGTGAAGTAGTACTCGAGGGTCTGGCAGCACAGCCGCCCCTGGCCGCTGAGATCAATGATGCGGAAGAGGAAGGCGATGGCCTGCGGCTCCGTCCTATTCTCCAGCGCCAACACAAAGTCCAAGTAAGTCTTGTAGTCCATCTCCCCCTCGTAGGTGAGGCACTCCTGGAAAACTCGGTCCAGAAAAACGTCGGTCAGGGAACCGTTGTTGTACCTAATAGGAGGCATTAACCATGGAATGATTGATTCCTGTTAAATGCACCATTTGAAGGACTTCCTGTGGATGACCATTCCATCGTCGCATCCTACCATGCTTGAAGTCTTCTGTACAACCTGATATCCATGCGTTTCACACCGTCGCTGTTCAGAGTGAACTCCATCACGTCACACATATGTACACTAGCATTATCGCCTGGCATTGGTGATTAAGGGCATCTGTGAAGAAATATGGCCTGCGCGTCATTTATTATGAGTACTTGAACACATCCACTAGCTACTACTGTTTAAAAAAGCGTTTTCCTCGAATGTGTCAAGTCCTGATTTGCCTTGAACACACCTTGCCGTCATAAGTTCGAACTGCAAGGGTTAATGGCGGTCATTGATTTTGGTATGTCATTAAAGGAGGCTTGTGATCAGTCAGTTTTATTTGACATTTTTAGCAAGAAAAAGAGCCACCGCCGTAGTTATTGGTGTACAAGCAAGAGTGCCTGGGGGAGCCAGCCACATGAAAGACCCGCGCTGAGACCGAGGTATTGGGTAATGTGACTGAACTGAGAACGCGGCTATCGTGTGACGAGACGGATACACGCCTATATCCGCGCCAAGCCTCGAAACGACAATATATCGTACTGTGAAATGAGGTATAAGTGGATTTTTGAAATGATGGCTGCTGTTCAAATATTGAGCTTGCGAAGTTGTCGCCAATGTGGATTTATGGACTGGAATTAAGGGCCAAAATGTTGCTGCGATAGGCACTAATTAAATATGGATCATTTTTACTGTCCTATGCTTCAATACAACAAAAATGTGCACCGCCATTGAATACAAAAAAAAGAAGAATTCAAACGCAAAACCACTACCAATCAAGTAAACCCTTCTTTAAACAAAAAGCTCAGTCATGCCTTGCTCAGGCAGCACACACACTAACCGTTCTTTTCATATTAAACCACCTACTAATAGCTGCACGGAACTGTTGATTCCTGTCAAAAAAACTTCATCTTTGAGATACTTTGCGTGACCTACCCAGCGAGTTCCTGGCGCGAGAGCATTCCATTTTGATCCGTGTCGAGCCTCAAGTAGCTGGCATATACACGTCGCGCTGACTCGAGGGAGAACCAATTGATCTCCAGTCGCTCCTGTGGTGTGGTGGTCTCCCTCAGCTCGAGGATGGAATCGAGGAAGCCGCAAGCTAGGATATCACAGATGCGCACCCGACCTGCACGCATTGGGTCAAGGAAGAAGAAGAACTTGCGCGTGGCGGTACACACGTAGAAGGGCTTGAAGGCCTCATCCAAGCCAGACACCTGATAAGGAAAGAAAGGCCAATAAACTTGAGAAAAACAGACCGAAAACGTAGCTGAGAGAATTGATAGATAGGTTGGGGGAGATGTTTCAAACTTGCAGCCAAGGTAATAATCTGAATCTCCTTATAAATCGATAGCAAAATGCAGCTAATATTGTCATTGCTTCAATCGAGCAGGTCATATGATAAACTCTAAAAAATGAATCCAACTAGTGAGCACATGAAAGTAAAACCTAAAGATACTCAAGTTAATACAACAGCCTAATGTGATAATAACAGGCGACACTCAACACAAAGGCGAAACAGAAATCGGGGAGAAAAGACCGACTCCTCATCTATATCTATTAGGTGATGTGGAGATATAGTGCTACCGAACGATGGTCCCGTTGCTCAGCATTAGAAATTGCAATCTACGGGAACAGACTGGGACAAAGCTCAAACCCAGTGCTTGCACAAACCAAACCCTGCCACTCGAGTGTCAGTCTTTCACCGGATACCGTCCCGTCGTTTAGGCACTGGCGAATCTGCGCGGTGCATACCTTACAGAGGGAGGGGATGAGTTCAGAAATGTAGTTTTCGAGATCCGCCTCACGTAGGTAGCCCTCACCACTCTCGTCGTAAAAGGAGATGCCAATACGAGTCTGTTGCAACCAAACGGTCTTCATCACGTAGTTAAAAAAGTTGAGGATGTTTACGCGGGAAAAACGGTCGCCATGGCATAGCTTTGCGAAGGTGGTTGCTGTAAAAAAGCGTCTGAAAGATAGCATAACGGTAGAGTTTAAGGTTTAATTGGATTTACCGTAGCAACGTCGGTACTAATTTTATACCAAACGAACTGATCATATGAAAGACACTCAATCAATAAATACGAAAAATTGGAAAAAATCAAAGTACTTTGCTTTGAGGCAAACCTCTTCCTTCGCCTTGAGAAAATTTGGATATGTAATGTAGTTCTTTCCATGACCAGGATCGGGGTTTTTATGTTGCTCTAAGATATTCCACAACTCCTGTCAAAAAACTCGGATAAAAATATAATCATGTTATACAGCGAGACTGTCATTATCAAGCAGCTCGTTATTTTTGCTTTCTAGGAGAAGGTCTCTGGCTCCCTCTCGAACCTTTCGAGCTAGTAAGTTGTTGTTGTACTGGCTCTGTGAAGTTAAATTTTTTTAACAAATTACCTTGGATAACAGTTCATTTATATCCGATGGCTCAGTACCAGTCGACTTGAACATAGGAAACACGATGATTGCAGCGGTAAGCAAAGGAGTTACTCAGTAAAAGTAGTATCGCTAAATACTAATGCCTATATGGAATGTAAGATCGACCCCAATAGTCACAGCAACAAAGTACACACAACGCAATTCGAGGTTCGGCTTGAAACAGCCGCCCTACATAGCCGAAGAGGGCTTCACACAAAATTTACCTTCTATAGTAATACAATTCAGTAACAATTAATTTCTGTTAAATTATGCAGACAAGCAGAGCACAAGACGATACATTCCTGCCTTTTTGTTGTAAAAACTGCGAAAACTTCACTAAATCAAAAAATGCAAAAGTTGCAAAGTACGATTGCGACTTGAGTCCAAACATAGCGTGGATAAGTTGGTCTAACTCATGACCGATGATTATTGTCTCAACATTTTTAAAATTTGCGTAAGGCATAACCAAAAGCAGAGCATACGGTAAAATTACAAAGTCTTATATTCTATACTAGAAAGGCTTTTTGGGATAAATCATTGATGCAAATGTCTAATTAAATTTTATGTGCATGATGTGCTAAATTATCCTTAGGGGTAGAATTTTAATAATACAACAGGCTACTAAGCTGTCTTTTTTCTTTGGTGTACTTTAGATAGTCCTGTAATCAATGCCATCGTCACATAACACTTATTGTTTTACTGTCCTCGCTTTTGTGCGGTCCACTTGGTTCTTCGTCAGGCGTTTCAGCCTGCTTAAGCGCACTCAGCATTCTTTCAAAGTTTTCACAGCGCTTTTCCCACTAGAAGATGCTTTAATCCCTTTTTTTCTTTTTGCTGTGCCGGGATATTTTTTCGCTCTTGTTTCAAGCTGTTATCTTTCATTGAATAAGTTGTAGAAACCAAATTTCTATGTTCTTGCTGCACTTGTGGTTCGTGTTTTTGTATGCTATCTAATCACTAAAATGTTGGATTTTTTGCGTTTCTTGTTTTGGGTTAGTTCTCGTCTTTCTATTCTTTCTTGTGAAGTTTTTGCCTTCTGCTATCAGATGGCTGGATTTTGGCCACCATCGTGGTGTACCTGGCACTCGTGGGAACCGTGCTCTGTGGAACCCTGCGAACCTGGTATTCAAAATCGCCTTCAAAAGTCTCCGAAGAAACTGTCACATCCACCTAAGGAGGTTGTTCTACAGGAGTACTGTGTCAATTCTACCGAATCCCCTATAACTGCAATTCGTTGGCCGGAGGAAGATGGCAGTGGAACTCTCCAACTCATTAGACCAATGCAACAGCGTCGTCGACAATGCCGCTGTCGCACTCTTAAAAGCCTCATTGATAGGTTCTTCCAGAAAACTTGTAAAGGTCAGTGATCCAGATGCTGTGCCTTTCACCGAGTTCATGAGTTGACCAGCGAGTGGTCTAATGAGTAGGTGTCTGAATTAGTGAATGAATGACCGTGTGGGTGGATGAACGAATAAATGACTGGGCAAAATGAGTGAATAAGTAAGTCGAAAGTGAATATCAGAGCAGCTGTGTGGAAGTCCAGGTGGGCGAGACATTGAGCAGTTTAACGATTAATAAAGTGATGGATGGAGGAGTCAAAAGATGAATGAGCGAGGCAGATTAGGGATGAGCGAATGTGCTGATGAGTGACGCACTTCTGCTATATCTTGATGCATACCTAAGGCAACTGCATTCGGCGCTAATTTATCTAATGTCATGCACGCGTACCCAGTCGTTAACTTTTCTCCCTAACTATTTGCATACCTGCATAATCCTTCGTACTTCCGCGTATGCTTGTCCAAAGCACAGTACTTCAGCACGTACAGTTTAAGTAATATGGGAATGGACTTTTTCAAATCCACTTTTCACTCCTGCCATGTTTTCTTGTCAATTGGGTAGGGCCATTCCCAGGGTGCTATTTTGTAAATGTCCGTAAATTATTGAAGTTTGGTCAAAAAGCCTCTGCTAAAATTGCCGCTTGATTTTTGTATTCATGTCAGGCCTGTTTGATGAAACTTGCCGCCATGAGTCAACATAATTTTGGAACTCCAAGTGAGGTTTATAAAGATATGAAAGAGCGTTGATCTACCCTTACCTTGGTTCTAAAAGATTAATGCACTCTACATTTGGCTTTGTCTCTACTTAGCAGGAATTTAAAAACCGTGTCTGTCCCCACTTGTAATCTTTGTGAAGCCTCTGGGGGCTTCATTCCCTTCTTGATACTAAAATAGGCCAACAGATTATTTCCTATTTTTTGGACTCTTTTTGTCGTTAGATATCGACGCTAAAACTTGCTCAGGGTGATCACGTTTTAATCAGGACGTTTATTTGAACTTTGTTAGTCCTTAGCTGTTAAGGCTTGGTTCACTTTTTTGGGTGACTTCTGACATCTGATTGTAATTAAATAGATTATGGAAGCGCAACCAATATAGCATCTGCCTTGCTGTTAATCACACTCTTGTTCCCCACCGTAAAATGCGAATTTGGAGAATTTCAACTGAAATCGATGCTCACCGTGCGCATAAGTGTCATTGCACTTCCTTTTTCCCTACAGAATATGAGGAACAAGTGGATTGTCACACCTGTTTCTCGCCCTTCTCCGGGATATATAGCCACACTCACAAGGGGGAGCCGCTACTGTCGTGCACGGATCTGGCGGAGTCTCGGAATGCTGCGGCTGCGGCTTCTGCCAATTCGAGCAAGTTCTATGCTATTCTGGGCGGTGCTCTGGGCACCGCAGCCTTCCTCATCATCGTCTTTTGTTGCGTGCGCTTCTTTTTTTTCTCTTCCTCCGGTGCTCGCCGTCGTGTCCGACACCCGGGTGACGGTAGCAGAGGTAATGGTGTCGTCGGTGGCGGCCCCAGTGATGATACTGACGACTCTACTCTGCGACGCCCTGCTAATACTTTTTCATATCCACACTTGTGAGTTATTTTAACTTACTGCGATGTTTCGGGTTTCGGTTTTTTTTGTAGTTTGGGCACCAATGATTGTACAATGATGTTTTATCCTGTCTGTGAACTGGATCACCAACAAGGGTTTAATCCTTTTTGCAAATCTAATTTTGTGTAGCTTGCACTCCCTAGCATTCTTATCGACTCCTCTTTTTCAGTCTGTTTTGTAATTCCAGCTGCATTGGGGGATGCTTGATGTGTCCAATTACAATTCTCCGACTCCTAGACCACTGTCGATCTTGTAATAAATTTGTGAAACTCGAGTTTATGCGGTTGCTAGCATTGCTTGTGAATATTTTTCTTCAGAATGCGTTAAAATGCCGTCTCTTATGAAGAAAAAAATGTTGAAGGACCTATGTTGTCGATTAAAAAAGACGTGAGGGAGATTTTCTGTTCTCATTCTATCGCATATTGGCATAGCACTCTCCCGTTTAAGTCTCTAGCTGTAACCAAAGCAGTGATTTAAGTGTTCAAATGCCTTTTAAGGTAAAGCGGTCGCATTTAATCTCGATGTCAAGCAATTGTCAATTGTCAAGTTATCAAAAGATTCGCCCAACATTGGTTTAAACGAATTTATTCTGCTTCTGCACGTGGTGGAACAGTTCGTTAACTCTTACAGCAACAGGGAAAGTTGGGGTAAAACCGAGGAAATTAGTGTCACTTGTTTTTTCAAAATATAGTAAGCTTCAAGGGCTATCAGTTTGATCTCCACCTCTTTTGCATACGTTGTAAAACGTGACGAGCTCTTTAGATTGGTTGCTGACTGACTGAATGACTTCTGATGGTAAGCGGCCTTTGTATTGCAATTTTCTTCTGGTGGGCTAACAGTATATCGTTGGTTATTCTCAGAAGACTGTGCTTATTCTGTGTGGGGCGGTTGATGGTATTTTTCTAAGTTGTGATTATCACCTTGGCTTTAACTCTAAATAAGCACATGATCACACATGAAGTAAACTGGGCAGTTGCGGAAGAAAATGGCGGCGATTTTGGTTACGGCTTGGTTTTTTCGCTTCTGCTCGCAGCTACGTTGTTCATTGTTTGGAAAGAATGATAAATTGTAGTGTTTATTGTTTCAATGAACGAAGTATGCTAAATCAACCATATGCTGCCATTACTTTAATGATAGTTCAGGTTCCTCATTTAGCTTACTTTTAAGGCCCAAATTGCGGTAGCGTTATTCCTATCGCTCAAGTCTGGTTCGATTATGATGTGAAGAGCGTTGGCAAGGTGTGTGCTGAATCGTGGATCAGCTCAACACTGAAGTTTCATGTATAGAAGCTGCTTTCTCCCTGCCTAATTTGGGTTAGTGGCCTTATTCCCCACTCTAGGAAGCGCGATTGACCGTGCTGTTGATAAAGTAAATTCTTGGTCCTCAAACCAGTAGTCCGCATGGCGATTAAGGCAGGTTTTTAGGTTGGGGTCAGGCCATCCACTTTATTTAATGAGCGCCAGTACGTAAGCGTTCGAAGTGCTTCTACCTCTACTTCAAACCTTACAGCCTCGACTTGATCACCTTGGGCGTCTATAAACACTCACTCTCTTACCTCATGGCTGAATATGCTGAGACACCTTACAGTAAGTTCACTTGAAGCTATTGTGTCGACCATGGTTGCCAAGCCTGGGTTGGCTCCGCCTGGTATAGATTTGGAGATTATTTGTGGCACAAGAATTAGTATGAATTTCGTCGAAACAGTTGATAGATTACGGTTATCAGTATGTTTCCTACCCTTGCATGTTCTTGCCTAATTTTCATATTCAAGACTGGAGAAGTGATAAGAGCTAGGCTCCATAATATAGATTTGGTGTATCCCGAGACTTCTCCGAAGGTGAAAGAAGACAGTACTCGGGCAAAATGTGTATTGTTGATATATGGGGGGGGGGGGTTCGAGGCAACTGACACGGCCCGAAGATCGGGCCGCCCGGCAGACATCATGGCGGAGCCCCCAGGTGGCTTATTACCAAAACTGAGAGTTAAGCAAACAATCAAGGTATTACATAGGCTCCCCTCTCGTCTTTTGAGCGTCGTCTCTGGCGCTCCCCTTAGTCAACCTCCCACGTCATCCATCACAAGGTAATCGG